CCTCCTCCTCCTCCTCCTCCTCCCGCTCCTCGTTTGGGTGTCCGACACACTCATCTCGGAACACCGATTCGCTTCCTCTAGCCCGCGCCTCGCGTCGCTAGTATCTCAATCTCTCCCCTCTCATCGACATCCACAGTCGAGGTCTAGGTGAGTCCGCTTTCCATTGGTTCTGTCTGCACGAGCGACAGGGTGTGAGGTGCGGTCTGTGCACGCCCCCTACGTCACGCTTGCAGACCCGGGGGGGTGTAAGAAGAGAGCGCGGCTGTCCTTGCTCCATCTGGTGATATGGTGATCATTCGAGTCCCAGCATTGCGCCCGGTTTTCTGGTGGCGCCCTGTATAGCATAGACTCGTCTGTGCTCTCCAAGCCATCCACAAAGTCCGTGACACTTGTCTTCGGGTCTCTCGGGTCGTGTGGCGGACGTAGTGCTGTGTGCTCAAGAGGAAGATCTGTCTGATCTCTGAGGAATGGTCTCGGACCACCTTGGCGCCCGTGATGTGCGACCAGGCGAGGAGAAAAGTCGTCTCGCCTCGAAAACACATCCACACACACGCACACCCACCCATCATCTCGCTTGCTTGTCTCTCCCAACTGAGACACCATTGAAATGGTGTCACGAGAGTCGTCAAGGCAACCCACTCGCGGCTTTTACTACTACCACCACCACCACCACCACCACCACCCACTCTCAAGATCATTGCTGACACCTCCTCTTCTTCCCAGCCTCGACTCTTTCGTTGCCGTAGTGACGTCCACACCGCCCTTCTCCCCCTTCCACTCGTTCTCGCCAAACGACTTTCACTCGTTCGGCCACTCGCAGCGTGTCGTGGACCCATCGACAGGCTTCTTCCCTTCTGACCCGCTGTTCGCCGAGCCCTTGGGGGCCAGCGGGGTTAAAGAAGACGTTTGGTTAGGAGGTACCGCTCAGTCGACCTCACCGTCATCGCCATTTACGTACGTCGCTCGCCCATCGCCCTCACTCTCACTCTCTGACTTTGGCAGAATAGATTCCCAAACCGATTCACAAGCTGGGGGGGATTACCAACCCCCGGCGCCCGAGAGCAACACGAGTGATTCGCCCTCGACAGATCACCATCGCAGAGGTTTTCCCAACCTGAACATATCGCTGCCACCCACGGGCCTGCAGCTCGCCCAGGGTGCTTCTCCTGCGTCTCTTGTGAGCTCGGGCGCCGCCTTCACAACCGATTCTCTTTCTATGAACGTCGACCCGGCAGAAGATTACTTCCGGTTCTCGGACGCAGCGCTTCCTTCGGGCCCGAGCGACGGTGCTGAGGCACTCAACGCCTCGGTCTCTCTCCCGCAGTCGGCCCGTCCGACACCATCACCCCTCGGCGGCGGAGCTGCCGGTCCCATGGTTGGTGGCATGATGCAAGCACAGCAGACCCAGTACCGCCTCCCCGCGTCCCAGCCGTCAAGCCCCGTTCGCGGTGTTTTCATGTCTGGACAACAGCAGTTCACCATGTCACCAGCCACCGGCCGTCAGCGGAGTACAACGGTGAGCGGCATTTCGCCGTTTGATACCACCTTTGGTGTCATGTCCGGCTTTGGAGGCCCTCTCCAGCTTCCGCAACAGGTGAACGGGGGTGGTGCAATTTCAGCTCCTGTGACAGCTGTTCCACATCATTTGGCTTTTATGGCTCTCCACTCTCCGGTGGCGACACCTCTTGGCGGTTCCACCTCGACTGTGGGGTCAGTCGCTGCGTCGCCAGTGACAGAACGCACTCAACAAAATCCCTTTCTGGGTGGAGACATCAACACGGCGCCTGGTGCACAGACAGGCACCGCCGGCGATGTCACAATGGAGGACGCCACTACCCTTTCGTCTCGGAGGTCATCAGGCGCGAGCCCACAGAACACCGCCGGGCTGACCGGACAGGGAGGGGTTGTGGCGTCTGCGGTCCCGAGCGCAGCGTCGGGGTCAGCTGGCGCGACGGGTGTTGCCCCGCCACTGTCAGCCAATGACATTACCGAGCGTCTTACCATGGAGAAGCTGACTATGCTTGACAAGTGAGTCGACGATGTGGTATAATAGACAAAGGAAGCGTGCTCACCATTCCTCAGCATTGTCAGTGAGGCCCAAAGTGCGAGGGCGGCTCTCCTCAGCGGTCAAGCCGATCACCTCCCGGTCGCACTGAACAAGATCAGTAATCAGCTCGACAAAGCCGGTGAGCTCGGGTTTGCCCGCACACCCCGCGAGACGACGCCAAACTCTGGGTCAAACAACAGCATCTCTCCGAGAAACTACTCTCCGTCCGCTCAGTCGAGTCTCAACGTCCCCTCGCAGCAGACTCTGCCAGTAGCTCCAGCCGCTGCCCCGGGTCTATCCCTTCTCCCGCCACTGCCGATAGGCCAGCCAATGTCCTCTGCAGCGACGACAGCTGCGGCCTCTACCAACGCATCCGCGGCTGCCTCGACGGTAGCGTCCGCCCTCAGTTCGCCCGTGACCTCAAGTCTTATGCGCCCGGGGACCAACGCCGCCGAACTGGTTGTTGGCACAGCACCTCCTCCTCCTTTGGTACACTCGCACTCGTACCCCAACGGCCACTCTCTGCCAGGTCAAGTTCACCACGCGTCTGCCCCCGTCCCGACAACGCCTGTCAACGCAACATTCAACCAGGCTGCTATGGGTGTCCATATGCCCGCCGTGTCCTCGCCACTGGCAGTGCTGCCACCGTCCCGACCTGCAAGCCCCCGCATGCACCAGCAGCAGTGGGGAATGCCCGACAACGTTGCCGCCGCTTCAGCTGCTATGGCCGCTGCTACGGGCCACAGCAGCATGCTGGAGGCTCAGCAGCAGCTCATGCAGGCTCAAGCTGTCCAGAACATGCACGCCGCCATGATGCACAACCAGTTGGTTCAGCACCAGCAGATGCAGCAGGCACAGCAGGCTCAACAGGTTCAGCAACAGCAGCAGGCACAGCAGGCGCAACAGCAGGCGCAACAGCAGGCGCAACAGCAGCAGCAGCAGCAGCAGCAACAGCAGCACTCTGAGGCGCCCAAGTCCCGCCGCCCCTCGCTCATCGAGCAGCGTGCCGATGGACGCCCGATTGCTCGCGCGCGCAGCTCGTCGTCCGCCAAGCCTGGACAGCAGCTGAGTATGAGCACGAGCACAAGTGTCCCGCCGTCCGCGTGGCAGTCCCGTGCCGGCTCTCCAGCTGATGATGATGATGACGACGACGACGATGACGACGATGATGATGCTGCTCAGCGGCGTCCCAAGCGCAGGCGTAGCTCGGCTGGTCCGGACGCGTCCGAAGTTGGGCCTACGTCTGGCGTTCACATCTCGGATGATGTTCGCAGCCAGCTGGATACGATATTCCAGGAGTTCTTGAGCAAGGTGTGCTCCAATCGTAAGTCGTCCTGTCGCGACGGGACCCCCCCCCCCCCCCCACTGACGCCCAGTCGATGCTGTGGACAGCAAGGGCGAGAAGCTTCACCAGGTGCTCATGCCCAAAAAGATGCAGCGCCTGGACGAGTCCCCCGACTACCGCCCTTTCAAGTTCCGCATCCAGGCATTCACCAACGCCTTCCACGAGGAGCTGATCGCTCGTGGCATAACTGAGGAGACCATGTCGATCAAGAAGGTCAAGGTGTATTTGTGGCACCAGGATCTGATCTCGCGCTTCAATGCCGACGGCAAGAAGGCCAAATCAAAGGGCAACCACATCTGGCACATTGATGCTAAGAAGCTGCCGGGCGGTGGCTGGATCTTCCGCCCCTTCAAGCGCAAAATCATTGGTACTCCTCCCACCTTTGCGTAAGTTTCTCGTGGAGGTGCTTGGCTTACACCAGCGTGATCAACCAGCGGTACGAGTGGGAGCCCAAAATCTGGGACCCGATGGCCCCCTCGAGCAGCATCAAGCCTACGTTTAGCTCGCCGCCTGGCTCGCTCCCCCACTGGCTCAAGTGGGAGGATGGCAAGCTCACCGGCATCCCGGACCAGCCGCACATGCCAATCACTGTGCATGTCAAGGCCGACTTTATCGACGGCGCTCACCGCCCTGCCTCTGCCACAACGGAGTTTACCATCCAGGTGGTCAGCATGCCGTTGCCTATGGCCGACGAGGCGGTCTTTGGCAACCCAGTGATGCAGTGGGCGCCTGATCACACGCTTGGCATGCCGCCCCCCATGCCAATGGTGCAGGGCTCGTGAGTGTCCCTTTGCTTGGCTTTGACTATGGCTTTGGCTAACGACCAGCATGCCCTTTGGCTCGGTCCCCATGTACCAAGCCCAGCCGGGCTTTGGTCCTTGACATGACGAGCCTTCCTTGCCTCACCTCTTGTTTTCCAAGGTGTAACAGTCTGAAATGACCTGTGTGACGTGACATTGTGCGCCTTCTACAGGTAGATTACCACTACAGTTTGCGCGTGGGCTTGCGCGCGTTGCGTTGTTTGGCGTGCATGGAGCACGCCGTGTGTATTGATGACGCCGATGTATAGAGCTTTTAGGCGAAAGGTATGGGCGAAGGCCCATGGGGGAAGCGGAGCGCAAGCGAGGTGCCGAGGAGTGCCGCGAGTGAAGCGGTGCAGGATGCGAGGGACTGCATCAATCCACGATCCGCCAGACCGAAAGTCTCGGGTGGGGTGAACCGAGATCGAAGCGGAGGTATAAGTTGGCCGCTCTGACTCCGCTGAGCCCGCTGACAGCTGGCTGCCGGCCGCGTGCCTGAGCTCTGCCGACTCGCCGGTCAACGCGCGTCCCACCGCCATTTCGGCAGTAGTCTTCTTCACCTCATCGACATACATATGACCTGCAATGGCCCACTGATGCCCCACGCCGCACGCTAAACACACCCCACTCACAAACTGACCTGGTGACACCCATGGCACCATGGTAATCAAGTTTACCGCCACGAGCGTCGTCTCGCTGCTGCGCGGCGCGGCCGCCGCCGCCCGCCACTCGCCGAAAGCGGGGACGCTGCACCGCTTCCGCGCCGCCCTCCGGCGCGCCATCCACACGATCCACCCCACCGCCCTCCTCGACTCGACCCCGCACCTGCCAGGCTCGGGCCGCGCCGCCGCGCGCGTCGCCCACCTCTCCCACTTGGCGCCCAAGCACCCCCTGGGCCCCGTTAATGGCGCCTTCCGCACGGGCACGTACCGGCCGGGCGCCCGCGCGCCCCGCGGCGCCGCCCTCCCCGCCCACGTCGGGCTGGGCAGCGCACGCACGTTCGCGACCGCCCCCGCGGCCGGCAGCATCCCCAGCGCGGCGGGCAACGTACCCGTCGTGCTGCGCGCCTTCTCCCAAATCTTCGACGACGACAAGCTCGCCGGCCCCCTCCCCACCGCCCGCCGATACATCCCCTACCGGCGCGAGCACGGCTCGCGCGCTTCGCGCCCTCGTGCGCGCCAGCTGCGCCGCCCCTCCGCCGCCTCCTGCGCCTCGGGCCGCAGCATCGGCGAGCAGCTCGCCGCCTACTTCCCCTTCCGGCCGACGGAGGAGACGGCCCTCCCCACGCGCCCCGAAGACCTCGTGACGCGGGGCATGAGCGCGACGCTCGCGCTCCCGCTCTCGGCGTCGCTCGACGCCCTCCTCGCCCCTGCGCCGATACCCTACGCGGACGCGCAAGTCGGCATCGGCGTTTTCGCGCGCCTCTACGACGGCGCGGAGCCGCTGCACGCCGCGTACGCGGCCGCCGGCGCACGCATCATCCCCCTCCTCGCGCGGATGGAGGCACTCGGTCTCCTCCACCCCGGCGCGTGGCCGCGCGTCGCCCTCGCCCTCCAATGCGACTTAGGCCGGCCCGATATCCTCCGCGTGACGTTCCACGACCGGTGTGCCGGCGACGTACTCGCTCTCCTGGGGGATATGTTGGACGACGGCCGCTTCGCGCTTACAGACACGTACGCGCTCAGTGCGGCGGAAGAGGCGGCGATCGCAGAGCACTGGGACAGCGTCGCGCCCGCGCCGACCGTGCCGGCGCCCTCGCCGGCCGATACGGTGTCCCTCGTCATGCCCACCCTCGACATGACGCCGACGCCCCTGGGAAACGCGTACTCGTACGCAGACGAAGTCGAGCCCGCGTGGCCGTCGCCCAGCGGCGCATCCACCCCGTCCGACGCGTCCTCCCCCTCCGTCCTCGACAGCTGGGCGACGAGCCCCGCCCTCTCCCGCTCCCTCAGCCTCGACTACCTCGACTTTGCGTCCGACTCGGACGGCTGGTCCGTGTCCCCGAGCGACGCGGACGCCGAAGTCGAGGCCGCGGTGGGGAGCGTCGATGTCGGCGAAGTCGAGGTCAGTTGGGTCGGCCCGGGCTTGAGCTTGGTTGATTCGTGGTAAATCTGGAAATTATGCAGTAGGTTTGGCGGCGGGGCACCGAGAAAGGGGACTTGCGGCTGTTTGGAGTCGACGCGTTCGGTGAGACGGAGATGGTGATGGCAATGGCATCTGAGAGCAGGGCGAGGGGTTCCGGAATGCCGTGAGGGATATTCGGCCTCTGACAGACGCTCATACTCATCCCCCGAGGCACGTGCATGAACTTTAGCTGGGATGGAGCTCCCGGAATGTGAGTTATCAGCGTTCGGGTCGAGGCTGCTCCGCGGTTGTGCGATGGTTGGTTCAACCGGGGTACAGAGGCACGTATCGCCATGTCGCGAACGAAAACGCCCTGGCGAGCGAGCGGGGATGGGCGGGATGGCGGGATGGCGGGATGGCGGAGATGTGGGGCCTGGGGAGGGCGGTGCGCCGGGTGATGGTGGGTCCGTGGTCGCCGAGAGCGGGGTCGGATTACGCGGGAGATCTGAGGAGGTTGTAGTTCTGCTGGGTTATACGGCCTTGATCAGAGACGACAGGAGCAGCAGAGTTGTGAGGGGGCGAGTAAAACAATGTAAAATGCAGGGCAAGAATGGCGTGAGAGGAGGAGGGAAGCAGCAGGTGCAAAGACATCACATCTGACAACCTCTACACACCCTCGCGGATAGCCTAAACCCATGACCGATAGCCATGGGACACGGTGAACACAATCGAGTGGCAGCCACACCCACCCCACCCGCCACACTCGGCTGCACCGGCTAATTTCCACCCCGTCACCATCACCACCTCCACCAACCCTTCCACCCTTCCTCCACCCACTCGTCCACAAAACATGCTCGCGCTCCTCCTGCTCGCGCTGCCCGCCCTCGCGCTCGAGCTCACGGGCCAGCTCGTGAACTCGCCGACGCTAAGTACGCGCCCCCACCGCCGCGCTCACACAGACACCTCGACGATCCCGCTCGACGCCTACGTCGATCTGGACTTTGGCCGCGCAACCGCCCCCTTCCGCGCCGACGGGAGCTTCACCTTGTGCGTGCTCCGCCTGCACCTCCTCTTCTGACGCCAGCGGCGACGTCGCGCCCGGCCAGCACATCGTGCGGCCCATGGTGCGCGGATACACCATGACGGACGTGAGTGCGCCGCGCACAGCTGACCCCAGCTCATGGTCACCGTCGGCGACGACGGCGCACACGTCCAAGCCTTCATCCCCGGCAAACAGGCGCTGCCTGTGTCGTCGGCGTCGCTCGAGTTCCCGCTCCGTGTCGGCGCGGCGTACGCGCAGTCGTACTATACCGAGGCGAATGCGATGAACATCCTCGAGATGCTCAAGTCGCCCATGGTGCTCATGATGCTCGCATCGGGCGTGCTGGCGTTTGCCGTGCCCAAGATGACCGTGAGTGGCGCAGTGCGCAGAGCGGTGGGCGTGGAGGGGTAGGGGGAGGGAGAGGACAGGAAAAGCACTAACGCCAGGCCGGCATGGACGACCCCGAGTTCGCGGCAGAGATGGTCGCGCAGCGCAAGCGCATGAACGCCGCGTCGCAGATGGACTGGACTGGAGCGTGGGTTGTGTTGCGTGCGCGCTGACGGAAGCCTCGCGAGCCGCCTTGCTGGCGAGCAGCCGGAGGGCGGGAGCGTTTTGCCCGCGGGCGCCGCCGTCGGCGCAAGTGGCGGAACGGCGTCGCCCGGGCCTGGAGCTGCGCGGACAGCGGCGCGCGGGGGCGCGGCGAAGCGCGGTGCTGCCAAGCGGCGATAGGCTCGGTGATGCCGAAAGTGGACACCGAGTGCGGAGAGACTGTTGGCTCGGGACATCGGTGCGGCATTGCTCTGGGTCCTCTGATGCTGCTGGAACGATGGCATCTCTATCTCTCGATTCTTGCGGATACTGCGGAAACTGATGGCTGCGCCAAGCTGCGCTGGTGCTACTGACACTGGTCATCGAGGGGAGCGACGAGAATGCGATGGCCATCGGGTCCCGCTTGGGACAGTGTCTCCGGGTCCGGATGAACTATAGTCAGCGTACCCGTCCCGGACATTGGCGCGTCGCGATGATGAGGCCGGGCGTCGTGGACACACGCATGCACCTCGCCACAGATGATCACAACTGCGGCTGCGGATTAACAGCTCTTGATCGATCATTACGATCGCGGGAGTTGGATGACGCCGAGGCGGCGGTGTCGAGCACTGCATGCTGCGCGCGAGGCACCAAACGAGGAGCAGATCGAGCTCCAGTCTTGCTGGCTCACTCACTCACTCCTGGCTGAGCAGCCACGACAGCAGGCCATCTCACGCCCGGGGTCGCCCATCAGCGTCTCATCGCCTCATCGCCCCGCCGCCGCATTGCGCATGAGCCATGGAGCCTCGAGCGTGTGCTGTGCGCGTCGGGTCATACTGTTACGTCAGCAGATAATTAATAGAGGTGGGCCGGCTGCAGGGTCTGGAGTAAGGGGAGAGAGGGACGTGCGGTGCACCCCCTATGTATGGGCCCCTCGGGTGGTGCGCCTGGATGGGAGGGAGGGTGGAGGGAAGGTGCCGAAGAGGGAACGGCGTGTCCCACTCGTGGACAACTCTTTCCTCCCATCACCTTCCTCGTCGTCCTCGTCGTCGTCGCCATCATCCTCGTCGTCGCTGTCTCTTTCTCTCTCATTCTCTCATTCTCTCTCTCCCTCCCACTCTCTCCCACTCTCCCATCCCTCTTGCTCGTCGCTCTCTTCTCTTTTGCCCCCCCCCCCACCACTACCCATTCCCCCTCCCGCATCGCCCCATCCAACCCACACCTCGCGCGTCCCGCGTCTCAGCACGGCCTCCCTCCCTCCCTCCCTCGAGCCGTCAACACCATCACCTCCTCCTCCTCCTCCTCCTCCTCCTCCTCTTTCCATCTCCCCTCTCTTGTCCTCTTCTCTCCTCTTCTCTTAATTCCACATCATCATGGCCCGCAACCGCCTTCAGCAGTCGGTATGTCGTCCTCTTCCTTCAGCTCCACCACAGGGCGCACCGTGCGCATCCCCGTCCCCCTCACGCGCGCTTGTCCCAGCACGCTCCAACCCGTTTCATCGCATGCGCTGACTTACTAGGGCGTTCCCCAGCAGTACGGGTACGTTTCCACCGCGCGTTATCAACTCGGCCGGCGCCAACTCAAGCACCATCTAGATCATCCTGCTAACACACAGTGACCACTCGGCTCCCGGCGGCAACCCATACTCCGGTAACCCGTACGGCGCCGCCGAATCCCAGCCTCTTGCCCAGAACCCCTACTCGCAGGGCGGTGGCGGAGCGTACCCGAGCTACCCTCCAAACCAGCAGGGAGGTTACGCGCAGGGCGGCGCCGGCGCTGGTGGTGGTGGTGGTGGTGGTGGTGGCTACAACTCGTACGGCCAGCAGGACCAGTACTCAACTGGCGGTACCAACGGTGCAGGCGGCGGTGACTTTTGGAGCCAGCTCAACCACACCAATGCTCTCCTCGGTGACCTCCAGCAGTCGATCCAGGCCGTCCGCACTGCGCACTCTCAGACTCTGGTGAGTTGGGTCGAGTCGTGTCCGAGCTGTGACATCTGGTCAAGCACGGCGCTGGAGCATCACGATATTTTGCGACATGGAACTGACACACCAGAACTCGACCGACCAGCGTGCCGTCCAGAATGCCGACAAGGTTTCAGCCGATGCCCGTGCCCTGCGCCAGCAGTGCAAGGATGCCGTCAAGAACCTGTTCAAGCTCGCAAAGGGAGACAAGACGCTGCGGCCTCAGGCTGAGGCGGCGTCGAAGCGCTTCACTGGCCTCCTAAATGAGCACCAGGTCATCGAGAAGGAGTACCGCCAGAGGAGTAAGGAGAAGGCAGAGCGCCAGTACCGCATTGTCAAGCCCGACGCGACTCCCGAAGAGGTTCAGCAGGTCATTAACAGCGACGACCCCCAGGTGTTTGCGACTGCGCTCCTCAACTCGGGCCGCTACTCGGAGGCTAGAGGCGCGTACAAGGAGGTCCAGGACCGTCACACCGAGATTCTCAAGATTGAGAAGACCATGACTGAGCTGGCCCAGATGTTCAATGAGATGGCCATGCTCGTCGAGCAGCAGGACGAGGCTATCACCAACGTCGAGCAGCAGACACAGCAGGTTCACCACGACATTGACCAGGGGTGAGTTTTGTCGTTTTAGCTTTCGGCTGATACCCAGCAACGTGCAGCTCGACCAGGCAGTCATCAAGGCCAAGAAGGCACGCCGGAAAAAGTGGATCTGCTTCTGGATCTGCGTTATCATCTGTATCGCCATCGCTCTCGCTGTCGGTATTCCCCTCGGTATCCAGGCCGCCAACAACAACAAGTAGATAGTCGCGCATCAGACTGTGTCGGACCCCCTTTCCCCTGTCCCAGACGTCGCACGACAGCAGGACGTATACCCGCATACCCTACTCCCATTCAATCTCGCATTAATGTGCGCTGGCCGCTTGGGCAAGCGCGCCCCTTACGTAGTAGACTCATGCAATTTATGGTGTCAGGTTGTCGTCGCACAAGGTCAAATCTGATGGCACCCGTTCGCTATCAATCACTGGCCTGTGGCCCGTGGCCCGTGGCCCGTGGGCCGAGGACGAGGACACGGGTTGAGTCGGGATGTAGGGAGCGCGAGGTGAGTGGACGCCAGGTCGCGTGAAAAGCGCATGGTGGCGTTCAGTTCAGTTACGGTATGGGCTGATGGAGTGGCGATTGCGGCGATCAACGACGGAAGAGTGCGATGCATGGCCGAGTGCATCTTCAGTATGCTGGACGCCTAGAGTTGATGTGTTGAGAGCAGCACGAGCAGATGAGCAGCCACTGCAGCCTTATACTGTAGAAAGACTTGTAGAGTAGTAGCAGTTGCATCGTCGAGATCTAAGGGCCGGATAGTGAATGAACGGATGACGCAAGTCGGCACGACGGTTGGCCGCACGCATCACGGTCGTGTTCTTGATGCTGCTACACGGGCCATCCATCACTCCGCCCGTCTCCTCCATCTCCGTCTCCTCACTTCCCATCACATCACTCTCTACGTCTTTCGACACAAAACCCGTCTACCCGTCCCCGGGGGTCTCCCCGACTCTGTACACACTCCCCCACTCCGCCATCGCACCCCTCTCCCCTCCTCACCTCTCCTTCGCACCGTGCCCATAACCATCTCTCCTCGCTCTTTTCGTGGCCTCATCCTGCTCCCCCTCCCCCTCCCACTCCTCCTCCGCCCTCTAATCACCCACCTCCCATCTCCCATTACCCACCACCCACCACCCACTTCCAACCCCGCACCATGCCGCCCGCGCTAGAGCTCCTCTACGCCATCGCGCCGTGCGTGCTAGCCCTTCCCGTCCTTTCCCTCGCACTTCCAGCCGAACGAGCACCGATCGAGCTCCCGGGTATACGCGCTGTCACGGTCAAGACGGTCACGCCGCGACGGACATTCATCACGCTCACCCTTGCCGCCCTCGCAGCCACCTACGCCCTTGGCGGCGCGCTCATCGTCGCAGACCTCATTCTCAAGCACGAGCATCCGGCATGGTTCATCGGCGCCGCCGCAGGACACGCGCTCGGAGGGCTCGCCGTGTTCTCCCTAGCTGCCATCTTCGCGGAATGGCGAGGGCGGTGGGGAAGTCGTGCGCTGGTCCTGCTCGCGCTGCTGGGATTTGGGATGGACGTGGCCATTCTCGTGTTGCAGGTCATCCGCGAGATGCACACCGGTGAGTCCTCAGCCATGCTCATCGCACATTCCCACGGCGCGCCCCACTAATCCCAGGCGGTGACGAGCGGCTTTTCGCTATTCTGCGCCTACCTCTCACAGGGGTGCGCCTGCTCCTTCTTCCCCTTCTCCTCGTGCTGGTCCTCAACCCCGTCGTCCGCTTCCAGGCCGCGGACGAGAGCACTGGTCTCCTCACCGCAGAAGACGAGGCTCCGGCCCGCGCAGCCAACGGCTACGGCACGTTTGACAGCGACCAAGATGCGTCGACAACCAGAGAACCGTCCGTCGCGCCGGGCACGCCCCAGCCGCCCCAGAAGAAGACCATGTCGAAGAAGCTTGGCGAAAAGAAGGCCGAGGAGACGCAGGGTCTGAGTTGGAGCGCGTTCTGGTCGCGCATCTGGAAGCTGCGCGGCCACCTCTGGCCGTCGACCAGCTGGCGCCTCCAGCTGTACTGCTGGCTCTGCGTCGCGCTACTCGGTGTGGGCACACTTGTGTTTGCGTACACGCCGATCATGCTTGGCAAGTTCGTGGACGCGCTGTCCGACATTGAGAATGGACGCCGCACCGAGTCACCCTGGACGTGGTTTGCCGCGTGGATAGCGCTCAAGGCCGTGCAAGGTGGCGGCTTCGTCGGCTTCCTCCAACGTATGCTCTGGGTCCCTGTGCAGCAGTACGCGGACCGCGAGATGCAGATGCTCCTCTTCAACCACCTGCTCAATCTCTCGCTCAAGTTCCACACCAAGCGCAACACGGGCGAGGTCCTCAAGATCATCGACCGTGGGTCCGCCATTAATAACCTCCTTCAGACGATGCTCTTCTCGGCAGCGCCGACAATTATCAACATTGTCGTTGCCGTGTTCATCTTCCTCAAGTTGTTTGGCGGGTGGCTCGCTTTCGTGCTTGTCGTCGTTATGACGACGTACGTCGTCTTCTCCATCGTCTTCACAGGCTACCGCACCAAGCTGCGGCGAGAAATGATCGAGCGCGACGTCAAGACGCGTGGCATTGCCTCCGACGTCCTAATGAACTGGGAGAGTGTCAAGTACTTCACTGCTGAGGCGCGCGAGTCACGTCGCTTCCACGACTCGGTACAGTCGTACCAGCAGACCGAGTATAAAGTGCTTTTCAGCTTCAACGTCTTGAACCTCATCCAGTCTTTCATCATCACTATCGGCTTGCTCGCCGGCTCGCTCATCATCGCTGACCGCATCTACAAGGGCACTGCGAGTGTGGGCAACTTTGTCCAGTTCCTGCAATACCTGCAGCAACTGTATGCGCCTCTCGACCGCCTGGGCACACTATACCGCCAGCTCAACGCGAATGCAACCGACGCTGAAAAGCTCTTCAATCTCCTTGGCCAGGAGGTCGAGATCAAGGATGTGCCCGACGCCAAGCCCCTCGTCGTCACGGACGGCGTCATCGAGTTTGACAATGTGCGCTTCTCTTATGACGGGGAAGTACAGGCCCTCAAAGGCGTGTCGTTCCGCATCGGCAAGGGCGAGAGTATGGCCCTTGTGGGTGAATCAGGCTCCGGCAAGTCGACGATCCTGCGCCTGCTGTACCGCTTCTACGACATTGACTCGGGCTCCATCAAGATCGACGGGCAAGACATTTCAAAGGTCACGCAGAAGAGTCTGCGCCATGCCATTGGCATTGTGCCGCAAGACTCTGTGCTGTGGAACGACACGATCGGCGCCAACATTTCGTATGGCAAGGAGGAGGGCGCCGAGGACGAGGAGATTATGGCTGCCGCCAAGGCTGCCAAGCTCCACGACCGCATAATGACCTTCACGGAGGAGTACGACACGGTGGTCGGTGAGCGCGGGGTGCGTCTCTCCGGTGGTGAGAAGCAGCGTGTCTCTCTCGCCCGCATGTTCCTCAAGTCGCCTGCGATTTTGGTTCTTGATGAGGCGACGTCCGCCCTCGACACAGAAACGGAGCGCGAAATCCAGCGGTCTCTCGCGGAGCTTGCGGCCAACCGCAGCTCGCTGTCCATCGCCCATCGCCTATCCACCATTATCAACTCTGACCAGATTGTCGTCATGAAGAACGGCGCAGTCATCGAGCACGGCACGTACCACGAGCTAATTGAGAAGGGCGGGCAATTCGCGGCCATGTAAGTCGCGGTGGGCGACGAAGCAGTACCCCGGTGGCAGCGCTAACTCCCAGGTGGCGCAAGCAGATCTTTACCGAGAAGGAGATGCTTGCTGAGTCGGAGGCGCCCGCGTCCGCATCTCTCGTCACGGCCGCCAAGGCTGAGAGCGCTGGCGTGCTCGCCGCCGCGAGCGTGGACGACGACGGGACGCTGCACATCCGCAGGGCAAGTCCGCCGAGTACAGTCCAGGAGAGTGAGGAGAGCGCAGCGGAGGCGGACAACGAAGACGACGAGCTTGCATCGACGCCGCGCAGCCCTAGTGTCCCAGCCCCGTCAACATATGCGCAGGCGGTCGCTGAGCCCCCGTCCTCAGATGCCAAGGTGGTCCACTCACCACAGCCATCGCCCAAGCTGCAGCCTGCCTCCCCCCAACCGTCCCCCAAGCCCTCCCCGCAGCCCTCCCAATCCCCTCCCAAGCAGCCGTCGCCCAAGCCCGAGCGTGACGCGGCTACGCCCCGCGCGTTCCCCGGTGCAGGGGCTTCTACATCCTTCCCCGCCACGCCGCCCATCACCCGCTCCAGCTCGGGCGCGTCGGGAAGCATCCAGAACCCGAGCGAGAACGTCGCATCATCTGCCGCGCCGCCCGACCGCGGCGAGAAGCGGCGCAAGAGACTGAGCTCGATCAAGGGCTTCGTGCGACGCATGAGCGACCAGGGCAAGCCGGTGCTGAGCCGCTCGAACAGCGCGGCGGGGAGCAACCGCAGCGCCGACTCGGAGGGGGAAAGAAGCAAGCGCAGCTCGCAGGAGGACCGTAGGAAGTAGGAGAGCGCGTGGAGTTGCCTCAGTGAGGACGATCAGGCTGAATGTCAAATGTCAAGCCAGTTGTGTAGGATGCATTGCATTGCCATCGAGGGTATCCGAAGATCAAGCTACACACTACTTGTCCTTCTTGGTCTCAGCCTCGTCGCCCACCTCACCCTTCTCCTTGGCGGCCTGGATGGCCTTTGCATCGTCCTCGCCCAGCTGACCATACTCGTTGACGCGCGAGTAGTCGACGCGGTACTTCCAGCGTTGGAAGAGGAGGATGACGAAAACAACGTCGTCGCGGAAGCAAGCGAGGCGGTGGAGCCACGGCATCTTGACGCAAAACGCACTGGACTCAGCTCGGCGCCACACAGGCAGTGAATGGGCTCACAAGAAATCGTCCACGACCGTCGAGAGCGTCTTGTACACCATCGCCTTCATGGGGATGTGGGCGACGCTCTTGAGCTTGTAGTTGATGATGAGCTGGGGCACGAGCTGCACAAAGCCGAACATGTAGATGGCTTGCGCGAGGGTGCTGATGATGAACGAGTACCAGCTCCTGTGGGTGCTGTAGACGAGCGAGTATCCCGAGTATGCGAGAAGCACAGGAGCGGCAAAGTACGAGACGATGCGGAACGCGAGGGCGTCGTACTCCTGCGTCTTCTTCTCGTCCTCGGACAGCTCGTGCTTGTCCTCGAACGCGAGGCGGTATCCGATGATGTTGTTCGCGGGGCGGATACGCACGTTGGCGACCTTGGTGATCTTCCACGCCTCGATGAGGAGGCCGATGCCCTGCGTGAAGAGGATCATGAGCGATGTCTCCTCGGACGAGTCGTGGAGGTAGAGGAGGATGATGAGCTGGACGAAGACGTTGGTAAGGATGGTGCGGAGGGAGACGCCGACGAGGTCGTTGTCCTTGCCCTTCTTGCGCCAGTGCGCGACGTCGCTGGAAAACGCGAGGAATTCGAACAGCATGTGCAGCACCGTGACGAGCGCCGTCGTGATCAGCAGCACGGGGTTGGTCTCGACGAGCATGCGCTTGACTTCATCGAGCTCGGCGCCCGTGCCCTGCGCCTGCGCGCTCTGCTCAAAGCTTGCCGTGAGCGACGCAAAAATGTTGAACTTCATGTGGCTGATGGCGTGGTACGTCACGCGGAGAGGCAGCGTCGTAGTGCTCGCATTGATGGGCACGAGGTTCTCCTTTAGGAGCCAGAAATCGTTGGCGAAGACCACAGGGTAGTACTGCATCTCGGGGCCGGGCGCGAGGTGGTAGTTCTCGCGCACGGCAGGGGGCATGGCCGCAAAGTCGGCCGTGTTGTCGTCGTTGATGATCGTCAGCGTCAGGTTGCGACTCCAGTACGAGATGATGGGCGGGGGGCCCTCCTTCTTGATCCGCTCTGCCTCGGCCTCGGCCGCCTCGGCCTCGGTCTGGTTCGCGTGTTTCGATCCCAGGAGCGATACCTCCTTCCGCACCCGCTTCTTCGGCGCCCACCGCGTCATCTCCTTGCGGTGGTGCGCGACCGCGCCCTCCTCTCGGCCCACGGGGCTGCCGCCGTCCCGCACAAGCAGGATGTCCATCCACCAGCTACCGTTGGCCTGCACGCTGCTCGGCACGGGGAGGAGCAGGTCCTCCTCGCGCGTGTCCTTCCAGTTGCCGAGCGTGATGTTGTCCCATCGCACCAGCGGCGCCTCCCAGTCCACCGTTGCGGGGGAGAACTCGGCCGCCGTGTCCGCGTACAAGAGGAGCGAGAGCGTCGTGCCCAGCGCCCACGCCGGCTTGGCGACAAGCGACGCGGGCACTGCGGAGGCCTGGACAGGCATGGACGCGGCCGCGTCGCCACCCGCCCCGTCGGCGAGCTGGGGCGAGGCGGGCGCCGGTGCCGGCGTCGCAGGTGGTCCGACACCAAAGTACTGCATCCCGTACTTCATCGCTGGCGTCAGCGTCTGCACCTTCCCTCCGATGCCGCCAGCGGTCTCAGTTCCGCTCACCCATCTGGCACGCCATGAAAATCGCAAGCGAGCGCACGATCGTGTAGATCTTGTTCTCGCCCTGCTCCGGCTGGCCAGCTTGGCCTGCCTGGCCTTGCGCCGGCGCAGCTCCTCGAGGAGCGGCTTGAGCTGGCATGGTGTTTTGATGAATGGAGGGAGACGAACGTTCCTCTTTGTATTGCGTTTCCTGATGGCGCCGCGCGGCCGCAGCCATTGCTGATCGCCGGCCCGGGGTGGATCACGTGATGTCCCTGCGGTGCCTCGATCATCTCGGTGGAGGCCGAGGCCTGAGCGGTACTTTTCCGGCGCGCGTCATGCGCTCAGCTCGAGTTGGACAATCGCACCTCCTCCATCTCTTCCCATTTCGTCTCGACTCATGAGCCCGCGCTAGCGAGACTCTCGACACTCCGCTCCCTCTCGCTTCTCCCCCCGCTCCTTCACTTCCCCCTCCCCTCTCCCATGGCAGACCCAAAAGGCGGCGCGCTCCCAGCGGCCGCGCGCCGCGCCGCCTCCGCCTGGATCGCTGGGCTGAGCCGCACGACGCTCGCTGTCCTCCTCCTCATCATTCTCATGTTCATCCACCTCGTCGGCCTTGCGACATTTACCCACGGCTTCCTCTTGACGCGCCTGACGATTCCCGAGGTGTCTCCAATCTACAACTCCTCGCATCCCGCCCCAGTGCCTGCGACGCACTCCAAAGCCGTGGTGATTATCATCGACGCGCTCCGCACCGACTTCATTACTCCATTCCCACCTGATCCTCCCAGCCCGTTTCACCATGGCATCCTCTCCCTCCCGGCAGAGATGACGGCCGCCCACCCCGAGCGCAGCATGATCTTTGACTCGTTTAGTGACCCGCCTACCACCACCATGCAGCGGATCAAGGGTATCACCACCGGCTCTCTGCCTACCTTTATCGACGCCGGTGCAAACTTCGCTTCGACGGCGATTGAGGAGGACAGCCTCATCTCGCAGGCAGTGGCTGCCAACAAGTCGGTCGTCTTTATGGGCGACGACACCTGGCTCAACCTCTTCCCTGACAGCTTCAGCGCTGCATACCCCTACGACTCGTTCAACGTGGAGGACTTGCACACCGTGGACAACGGTGTGATTGAGCATCTCTTCCCCCATCTCGAGAAGGGTGGATGGGACGTGCTCATTGGACATTTTCTTGGTGTGGACCACGTAGGCCACCGCGTCGGACCAGACAGGGACACGATGCGCGACAAGCTCGCACAGATGGATGCAGTACTCCGTCGCGTTGTCGCCGAGCTCGACGACGACACGCTTCTTGTCGTCCTCGGCGACCACGGCATGAATCCCAAGGGTGATCACGGCGGCGACAGCCCTCTCGAGACATCCGCCGGTCTGTGGCTGTACTCGAAATCAACGCCAATCAACCACGCCTCCCACAGCGACTCCTACGCGGAGGAGGAGGGCCTGCGCCAGATCAACCAGATCGACCTCGTGCCCACACTCGCGCTCATGCTCGGCTTGCCGATCCCGTTCAACAATCTGGGCAACATTATCCCGGAGGTGTTTGTTGACGAGCCGGAAAACTTTGCCGCCGCCGCCCGCGCAGTCACAAAGCAGATCGAGCGGTACATTCACGCGTACGGCAACGCCGCGGTTCTTTCTACTTTCGCAGAGTGCCGACGGGAGTACGCCGAAGCGCACGCATCAGGCGTGCCCGTGCTCGCGGCCGACGCGGACATGAACACGAACACTCGCGTGCTCGAAGCCCTGCGTGAGCTCTGGGCACAGTTCAGCGTGGCACACATTGTCATGGGAGTGATTCTCCTAGCCCTCGGCGTCGCGGCCACCATCGCGCTCTACCTCGGCGTGAGGAACGGCGGGCCCAAGTGGGACCAGTACGTTCGCATGGCGCTCGACACAGCCGTCTCTGCTGGCGCGGGCGTCGGCTCCGTTGCCGGCACTGTCGCGGGTATTTATACTCGGGAGCCGATCCAGGGCCTGCAGGTCTTCTTCTCCGTCGCGGTCGGTACCGCAAGCGCCGTGCTCGCCGCGCCTCTCTTCGTCCGCGGGACGTGGAGTGCGTCGATCACGGGCACGCTGCAGCAGGCGATCGGCCCTATCATTCTTCTGTTGCACGCATTGTCGTTCGCGTCCAACTCGTTTGTGATGTGGGAGGACCGCATGGTCGTGTTCCTCCTTGTCTCCCTCGCCCTCTTCCACGTCCTGCGGGCCCTCACGGCGCCTCAAGCGTCTCTCCGCCTCCGAATCCTCGGCTTTGGCATCCTCTTCGCCTTCCTTGTGCGCACGCTCGGCCTCTCTACGGTATGCCGGGAGGAGCAGCAGCCATACTGCAGCGTGACGTTCTACGAGGCAAACGGGTCCCCGAAGTGGAGCGTGTACGGGCTCATCCCGTTTGTCTTCATGCTGCTCCCGCGCGTGGTCGCGATCGTCCTCGGCTGGTCCAAATCGTATGCTGGGCCGGCCCCCGTCTTCGTGGCCGTTATCTGGCGCGCCGTCGTCCTTCTCGGCGGCCTGTACTGGTGCCTGGAGTGGATGGAGACGTGGGACGGGCTGCAGGCCGAGCGCGTGCCGCTCGTCAAGAGCGTGAAGCTGTGGCTGGCGCGCTTCGCCATGTCCGCCGTCTTCGGCCTCATGCCCTACATCTGGGCGTCTTCCGGCCTGTGCCTCGACATCGAGCGGGAGAAGGACCAAACGGGCGAGCGCGAAGACGAAGTGACAGTGCTGGGATACGGCAACGCCTTCGGCTCGACATACTTCCTCTTCGTGCTTATGGGCTTTGCGCTCGTGCAGCTAGTCTCGACGCCGCTGGCCCAATTCGTGCTCGGCGGCGCGATCATTGCCGTCATCGCCCACCTCGAGCTCACGGACAGCCAGCGCGACGCGGTGCTCCTGCACTCGAGCTTCGTGCAGGACACCGCCGCGGGCGCGGGCGCGGGCGCGTTCGACGCGCCGCGCGACGCCATGGTCCGCCCGTCCTTCACGGACGCGGTGCCGCTCGCGCTGCTCGGCATCCTCGCCTTCTTCAGCACGGGACACCAAGCTGTGCTCGCGACGATCCAGTGGAAGTCGGCGTTCGTCGGCTTCGAGACCGTCACGTACCCGTGGTCGCCGCTCCTCGTGGTCCTGAACACATGGGGCCCGACGGCGCTCATGGCGCTCTGCGTGCCGCTGCTCGCGACGTGGAACGTCTCGCCCCGCCCCAACGCCTCGGTCCCCGTGCTCGCGCACACGCTGCAGATGGCGCTCGCGTTCAGCACCTACTTTGCAACGATTACGCTCGCGAGCGCCACAACGGCCGCATGGCTCCGCAGGCACCTTATGGTCTGGAAGGTGTTTGCGCCGCGCTTCATGCTCGCGGGCGTCACGCTCGTCGTCGTCGACCTCGCGCTCCTCGTGGCTGTCGGGTTCGGGCTGCGTATCACAAGCTGGAAGGTGTGGCGCACGTTCAAGAGCGTGAGCGTGTAGCAGACCCAAATATCGGCCGTTCGTCGCCACAACCATAGAAACACATAGGAATATGCATCATGTCTTGCTGACATGTCTGGAGAGCGCTCAGCAGGGACGGTCGACCAGATCCTTGGGTTGGCAGTGGCGCAAACATGTGAATGCAGCCCTCAGTTAGGGCAAGCGCCAGCGCTGTCGACCCCTGGCCCACTCTCCCATCCACCAGCATGACGCCGTCACGCTAACAAGTACTTCCGACCACTCGTGTTTTTACTAGAGCCCACCTGTACACGCCTATAGAAAATGTATAGGCACCAGCCTCTGGCGCACGCCA